TTAACAAAACATATTTCATCATATTGTATATCCACATATACGCTAGAATATACAAACTCTTGAGAAAATGTTGACTGTAGAAAAAAAACGAAAAATGAAAGAAATTTATATGATTAAAACACACGCAAAACTCTAACGAGATTAATCCAACTGGTTTAATCTCCACAAAGTACATAAAATTGCAATACTATAATTCCAGATTTGTCTTTCGAACGTTCAGCTCAATCTACAGCTCACATGATATAAAGAGATAACTCGTCCCTATAGGTTATGGGGCATTTTACTCCCTTACCAGTCGCTCAAAACATCCACTTGTTCAAAAAAAAAAAAAAGAATGTCCAAAGGATCTACATTTCTCGTAATGGAAATGAGCAAGAAGTCTAGACTGTGAAAATGACCTTGATGCCACCATGGAAAACTGATATATAGAGAAGATTTAATCCTATTCTTTATTTTGTTAATCGAAGAGCTCTAGACCGAAATCCATATAATTGTCTGTGACAAAAATTTGTTTTTCTTACGTGAGGAAATCAAACAAACAGATTTAAGTTAGAAAGCCGAAAACTCGTCACTACTTCAAAATCAGTTTAATTAATTATCATAATTTAAAAACGACGGGGTTTCTAATCAAAATTTCAACTGGGCTTGAATGCTGTGGGAGATTTATCAATTCGCATATATGAATCATGTCTATTAGGTAGAGATGTTTAGGTTAAAATGTGAATCGATCATTTCATTTTTGAAATATTATATTATTTCGCACGTGAAAAACAACGAGGGCTTTTCATGACCACAAGGGCATGTATGATTGTATCAACTTTAATTTCTTCATATAAAAAAATTTATTATCCCAATTATTACTAGCATTATAAATACGTAGCCACATCTAGGTTGCATGACACACAAAATCAACCATAGTCACTACTTTCTTCTTATTCTTTAGGCAAAGTGTTTTCTTCTTTTCATATTGTGAGAATGTCTCAAAACGACATGAAATTCTGCAATAGTTATTTTCTAGTCGATCCAACCAAAGCAAGTGTTGTTGATCTCCTTCTCCTTTTGTTTTCCCCCAACCTGACCAGCGCAAGATTCATAGACTCTCCTCCCCATACGCTCAAAAGCTTCCGAAGGAGTTTCGCGAGTCGATGGATAATTGCGTTGGCCGTTTTTCTTCAAAAGATATTAATTTTCATAAGAAAACCCTTTGCATTCATTGGTAGTTTGCTCACATACTGGCCCAATCTTCGTACGGCTAATGGAGGCTTCTTCAAGTTGATACTTAACCTTTTCACAGGTGCGAAATTAATCTAGAAAAACATACTTTATAATACGTTATATTTATCTCCACTTGTTACTATTACCATATTCTTGAACTTACAAGGTTTTATGTTCTTTTCTTTCTCTTACATATGTTATAAGTATCCCCAAAAATCTAATCAGCATGATCATTTTAAGGATCTCAAGGACCATATATCATATAATTCCGTAAATTAATGATTCTCTGGACTTTTGGACTTGATCAATGACACTAATTAATCACACTTCAAACGTAGTAGAGACCAGACGAGGAGTACTTAACACACATAAAAATAAAATATTTGAATGTAAACTGGATCAAGACATTAGTTTGGTGGGAAAAGATCAAGTTTAATTTTAGTATTTATGAATTTTTTTTTCAAAAACTAATCAACTATTTGTTTTTCTTTTTTTTTTGTTGTTGTGTGTGGATGGTGTTGAGCAAGTTTTTGTACAGGACTAACCCAAAAGGCTTGACTTGTAACAGGAAAATTGGTGAAACCTGATGAATCGTCGGCGACATACACGTCGTTTATCGGATGCTCAGATCGAAGAGTAGCGCTTGACGAGAAGCTAACTGTTGGTACCATCGAATACAAGTCGATGTTGTCAATAATGGCTTCTAAGATCGCTTATGAGAACAAATCTTTCATCACTTCCGTCGTCAAAAACACTTGGAAGGTTAAACGTCATTTTCTCTTATTATTAGGGTTTTTTCCTCTCTCAAGATTATATCATATAAAAATCATACAAATAAATCTGCTTATTGCTGGAAAAATAATTTGAAATAATTTTTTACGTTTGTTCTATACTTCTAACTCTTTCTGTATATATTCTGTGATTCAGATGGACTTCGTGGGTTTCTACGACTTTTACAGCGGTAAATGAAATGCTACGTTTTATTCTTTTTAGGAAATGTTTTTCTTTCCCAAATTTAGGGCTTAGGTTAAATAAATAAACCTCAAATGGCCGGTTAAATCATTTAAAAGATCAATATAGAAAACATATTTAAACCTGAAGATTTACGTACGACATAAAGCATTCTCGTGGTACTCAAAAAGAGGTAAAGTTTTTACCATTGAATATAAATGCCCTCCATTTTTGTCATTTTTTATATTACTACAAAAATAGGTCTACGAGATCATGATTATATAAATACCAAATGCCAAATCGTGTTGAAATAAACGCCAACTAAGCAAGGGACCCTACTGATTTTAAACGTGTCTGACGGATTAATAGTTG